CCTCCCGCATGACCTCAACTGGAGCTGGAGAGCAAATCTACAACCCACCTAAGTGCCCTTGACTGGGAATCAAAACCTAGACCCTTCAGTCCAAGGGCCGAAGTTCTAACCGCTGAGGCCAACCATCCAGGGCTCTGGGGGGTAGCTTAAAAGCTGAACTCTGCATCTCTTCTTTTATCGAAACAAAGAAAACCACACCTGTGGTGGTTTGATAACTGCCCTGCATAACACTGCACTGCACGGGGCTGTGCCAGGAGTACCGGGCTGTATTTGGGTCAGCTTTATAGCAGACATTGAAAACCCTGGATGTCACGTGCCCCTTGCAAGTTTGAAATGAAAAATTTTGTGTAGGAAAAGAATTTTCTGCACCATGAATGAATCATCTCGATGAGGTAACTTAGGCAAAAACTATATTGGCTTCTAAATCTATTAGCACAGCAACTGATTTAACCTAACAGCAACAGAAAACTTTATTAAAAACGCTTCTTAGAAAATCTAACGTTTAACAATAGAAAAAGCACATATGCACTTGACTACAAAACTTGTTTGTAAAACTAGAAATAAATTCCCTATGTAACTTTTATTGCAATTTTTAATGAATCCAGATATTGTCTCCACCGTGATTCAAAAATCAATTAAATAATTGTACGTCCTCTCCCCAGTGTCTAGTCACCTGTATTAAAGCAGGTGCAATACATACGACTTTCTAAGCAATGTCCCCCACAAAGAACCTGCCTTGTTCCCACGACTTAGAGAAAGCTAAAACAAAAAACCCCAGCCAGGCCTGGCCAGCAACCTCACCGAGGTGGCAACACACTCAGATTCAGGGGACAGAGGTGCAGGCACACAGCAGCACTTTAACCAGCGGAGTTTTCGGGGTGTAGCACAGAGCCCGTGGAGCCTTCTTATCGAACTCCGGGCTGCCTTCCCTCATTTGCAATTCTAGTCCACTCTAAGAGATAGGAATCCTGCTGCACTAGCAAATTCCCGGGCCTGGGGCAAACCGGCCAGCTCTCCACAGCACGGTGTCTCCTCTGCCAGGTGCCCCGCGAAGCGCCAGAGGAAGACCCGGGGTGCATTTGTCCGGACACTTGCAGGGACCAGAGTTGGTGTGCGTCATCGGAAGCCACCTGGCCCTCCCCGGGATTCAGACTCTTCTTTTTAGGAAACAAGTTGCATTAGATTACACCTTTTAAACAGACAGAAGTAATGTCATAGGGGATCCTAATTTGTATAAAAGCCCCTAACTACTGGAGCAGGGTGGAGTGGGGGGGCTCGCAAAAGAAAAAGCACCCTCATCGTGTTTTCCTCGCCAGTTCACAAAACGACCGACTGGCGACAAAAGGTCCAACAACAGAGCGGAGGCTGGTCCCTACCCCTGCCCTCCTGTCGGCGCAGAAAGAACCCCGTTCCCCAAAGAGCTGCCCCAACACCTCGCCCAGGTGACTCCGCTGGGAAACAAAGCCCGAAGGTGCGACCCGGCCCGGAAACTGGGTGACTCACTGGTTTCGGCATTTTCGGTTCCTGGTGGGTTTTCCTCGGTCGTCTGGAACACAAGCGGCCAGCAGCAGCTGAGACGGCTCCGGGGACCTGGAGGCAGACGACACGCGTTAGCGCGCCCCGCGTCCTGCTCTTCCCGCCGCCGCGCCGCCCCCGGCGCCCGCCCCGCGCGCTGCTGCTTAAGAACCGGCCCGGCGGGCGGCGCGCGGGGTGAGTCACCGCCCAACCTGCAATTACGGCGGGCCGGGCGGGCGGGCCGGGCGGGCCGGACCCGGGCGGCGGGCACGGGGGCGGAGCCGGGGCGGGGCGGGGGTCCCGGCGCGGGGGTCCCGGCGCGGGGGCGGAGGCCCGGGCGCTGGGGCGGGGGTCCACCCGGAGAACTTTCCGTGGCTTCCAGGAAGCCGGCGGGGAGCCCGGCAGACAGCAAGTTTCACTTTGTGAAGCAACCGTTTGCCCCACGGCTGAAACCGCAACCGTCAAGCCTTTGAGAAACACTTTTTAAAAAGTGTCCCCGCCCGGCGAGCGAGGCGGGGGGACGCGGGCAGGGGCGCGTCCATGCAGCCCGGGCCCCGCTGGCCCTTCGGCGGGGGACCCGAGGGGACGGAGGGACGAGGGAGGTCGCGGGCCGCGACCACCCGGCTGGTTCAGAGTCACCTGCCGTTTATTTGGGTCAAAAAAGGGACCGTGCGCTGAGGGCCAGGCATGGGCCCCCCGGCCGCACACACCAGGACCCCGGGACCCCGACCCCGGCTCCCCTCGGGCGCCACTGGCCCCGGACCCGAGCGCGGCCCGCCCCTCCGTCCTGTCGGCCCACCACACCTGTCGTCGAGCCCCGGCCACTGTCCCCTCGGCGGAGCGCGCGCCGCGAAGCCCTCGGCTCGCCCGCCCCGCCGCCCGCCAGCCCCGGCCGCTCGGCCGCTCACCCGCGGCGCCTGCACAGGACCGCTGCGCTCCGGCTGCCGTGTGCCCGCAGCGCGCCGCCGAGTGGCCCGGAGGGGCGGGGTCCCGGGGCCGCGCCCCTAACCGCCCCGCCCGACCTGCGAGGTGCGCCCGCGCGCAAAATGGCTGCGGCGCCGCCCGCGCCCCGGAGCCCCCGCCCCCCGCCCGCCCGGCCCGCGCCCCCGCGGCCCCCGCCCGCCCGGCCCGCGCCCCCGAGGCCCCCGCTCCTCGCGGCCCTGCCCGCCCTGCCCGCGCCCCCGAGGCCCGGACCCCCGGTGGGCGCGCGTTCCATCTCCCAGCCGCCCCGCAGCCTCTCCGCGACGTGAACACCTTTCCCCTTCCCCTCCTGGCCCTTCGCCCTTGGAGAACTCGGCCGATTTGGTTCAACTTCCGATCGCAGACGTGAGGTGTGAGCGGGCCCGCCGGCCGCCGCGGACGGGGAAGTCGAGGCCAAGTAAACAGACCCGCAGGGCCGGCGGCCACGGGGCCGTGCGAGGGCGGGGCTGCTCCGCGGTCACATCTGCTGCCCTTGCGCCGGACCAGGCCGGGTTCGGAGAACCCCGAGCCTGGGGCGGCTCTTCTCTGGCCGATGCGTCTCAGCGCACGTGGCGGGCCAGCCTTGGTGGCGCATTCGGCCCAGAGGACACAAGCACACGTGCAGAAGGACGCCCTGTCGCTGAACACTCGTCGAAGGACACACTGTGGTCTCATTTGACTTGCCTAACTGGCATAAAGCTGTAGCAGAAACCTCCACAGGGAGAAATAATAGGAATTATTTTTAATATGTTTGCAAATAGTTCTCAAGAATTTCTGCAAACATGTACTTTCGTGGCCGGTAGGATGTGCAGCTCGGTGATTAAGAGAGCTGGTCTGGCCCTGGGCGGTTTGGCTCAGCGGTTAGAGCGATGGCCCCTGGACCAGTCTCGGGTTAGATTCCCGTCAAGGGCACGTACCTCGGTTGAGGTTTGGTCCCAGGCCCTGGTCAGGGTTCTGCGTGAGGCAACCAATGATGTGTCTCTCTCACATCAATGTTTCTCTCTCTCTCTCTCTCTCTCTCTCTCTCTCTCTCTCTCTCTCCCCCCCATCCCTCCCACTCTGCCTGAAGATAAATGGGGAAAAAAATCCTCTGGTGAGAATTTTTAAAAAAGAGAGAGAGCAAGCTGGTGTGTCTGGAGCAGTGCTTCTCAAGCTCACTGCTCAGACTAGGAGCATTCACGTCCCCTGGGAGTTTTGCAGACATGGAAATGCATTGGTATTCCCCCAAACCTATGTAACCAGGAACTCTGGGGCTGGGCGCCCAGCAGTCTATGCCTTCAAGCCCTTCAGGTGTGCTGAGACCAGGGCTTCTGAATTCCTTTCCTGGGCTCACCACTAAACTCCCAGTGTGAACTGAGCAAGTTACTAAAATGGCATAATTATGGCACTTATTTCATGGGGTTGTTACGAGGATTAAAGGAGCTGATACACGTAAGATGCCTAGAATAATGCCTAGCACGTAGTAGGCGCTCAAATCTATCCATGGACAGAGTAACCAGTGACTTTGGGCAGAGCACCGAATTCTCCCAATTTGTGGCAAGGAGACACCCTCCTACAGGTGTGGGGATTAAAGGAGATCAGGCATTCAAGGTACGTAGCACAGTGCGAGCCTGCTGGCAATGCCTAACCTGTCACAGGAGCAGATGGCTTCTGGGGTACCCCTTGTCAGTGACCCTCAGGTACCTGTGACTCTCTCCCACTGCCGGTCAGGGCATTGCAGAGTTTCAGGTGAAGAGGGAGGCCTTTCCTGAGATTCTGTCCTCTATTTGGGGAAGTCTGTTCCCTCTGAAAGACTGACTTTCTTTTTTATTAAAATGAAGATGTAGCCCTGGCCGGTTTGGCTCAGCGGTTAGAGCGTCGGCCTGCAGTCCAGAGAGACCCGGGTTCGGTTCCCGCTAAGGGCATGTACCTCAGTTGCAGTTTGTCCCTGGCCCTGGTTGGGTTGTGAGGGTGGCAACCACTTGATGTGTCCCTGTCACATCGATGTTTCTCTCTCTCTCTCTCTCTCTCTCTCTCCCACTCTATCTGAACAAAATATATATATATAAAAAAAAAATGAAGATGTAGCCCTGGCTGGTTTGGCTCAGTGGTTAGAGTGTTGGCCTGCAGTCTAGAGACTCGGGTTCAGTTCCTGCTAAGGGCACGTACCTCGGTTGCAGTTTGTCCCCGGCCCTGGTTGGTCGTGCGGGTGGCAGCCACTCGATGTGTCCCTTTCATGTCGATGTTTCTCTCTCTCTCTCTCTCTCTCTCCCTCCCTCCCGCTCTGTCTGAACAAAAAATGAAAAAAATGTCCTCGAGTGAGGATTAAAAAAAAAAGAAGATGATGTAAAGGTATCTGCGGTGGGAAGGAAAGTATGAGAGGTATTCCAGTAACCTACAATAATAATGGTTCAGATTGCACTTGCTACTCCTAGGACATTATCTTCACCTCATATCACTGCCTGGAGCCTTGTCAGCCATTTCCAATCCAACTCTGCTGATAACACATGCCTCTAATCTTTTATTTCAGTATAGTGTCTTTCAAACTAAATGTTTGGAATAACAGGGGCCCACAACCTTTATTTCTGAACTTTACCCTTCAGGGAAATGCTGAGCAAGAAACCATCCCAGGTTTCAGAAGCAAACAGACTGGTCACTATGGACAAGTCTCTCACCCTGACTAAGCTCCCACCTCTTCAAGTGCAAAATAAGATGACCTTGTTCTGGTGTCAGTAAGTCAGAGAAGGGAGCCTTTAACCCACTCCAATTCGACTTGCACGTATACTTTTCTTGCGTAAGTTAAAATAATCGAGAGTCCTGCTTTGTATGTGTTTTCCCATATAGCATACATTACGTAAGCATTGCACATTATATTTACATGCTTCTACACAGCCCCCTCCCAAGAAAAAACATTTATACTGTATCTTATGAGTGGTTTCAAGTGGTTTTTCAATGGTGATTTATTTTCACTTTAGAACCTAATACAACCCCTCCAACCCCTCCCCCCCTGTCTCCCACCCCCATCCCCCAAGGCACACAGAAGACAACTCCAAGGAATCTATGAGACTTGCTTACGACAATGGTACTGACATTTTGGAGTGCATTGGGGTCACTCATGGCCGTCCCCCTTAGGAATCGGGGGTCAGTAAGTCTCAACTCTGGGATGTCTTTAACAAGTCTCCAGGTGAGTTTGACACACACCAAAATATGAGAACCCCTGATTTAGGGTGTGGCAGGATCCTGACACATTGCCGCTCCCTTCACCCTTCTTTTGCGACGTCACTCCCTGTATTTGTAAGTCATGGTTTTGGCCACGTTTGATCATCAGCGCCAAGGAAGGAAGCGAGGAAACCTGCAGCCAGGAGCCCTGGACACCCTTCCCCGCTCTCCTTTAGACTGTCGACCTGGAACGGCTCGCTCCCTGTTTCCGGCTTTGAGTTTTCCAGCTAGAGAAGTCAGGCTGGCACGCGAGCTTGATGGTGAAACGCTGGGAGTTCTTCAGGCAGGTGATACTGAAGTGAGGTAGGGCAGCCCTCAAGGTGCCTTTCGACACAGCAGCAAGGACAAGAGCTGTCACACAGAACATCCACTTCCCCTGGCTGCGGGCGTCCTATCAGATCGCCTCGGAGCCTGTCTCCACACTGGTGCCAGGTTCATCTCAACCCATAACGAAAAGTTCACAAATAGTGTGACAGTCTTTACACGCGTCCCTTCAAAAGAGCAGCCAATAGGCAATAGGGAGCTATATAGAGTAGGATTTGGGGTACTTTTCAGGACTCAGTAACCTTGAGGGAAAATTCAGGACAGTGACTAGAGGACAGGGAGGAAGAAGGAGGCCTTTAGGGAAGCGACACGGAGGCCGAGGCTGCAGCAGGGATGTTTTATTACGCTGAGTGGTGGCCCACAGTGTCCCTTACAGCGCACTTTGTACCTTTTGTGGTCTGAGATATTTTATAATAGATACTTCAAATGTAACATCAAATAAGCTTTTCGAGCAAGTTAAAGGAACTAAACATTTCATGTAATCTTACAAAGCTCCATGAACTCAATGTGCAAATCCCTGGCACAATTTAACATTCCTTTCGGACCTCAGAGGGGTGACTGGTCCTTGCAGTGTGGGTGAGAGAGCACAGGAATGAATAAGGACTCACATAGCTTGACAGGTGGCCACTCTGCCTTGGGTCCAGAATGAACTTTAAGGGTCTTACCAGGACAATAAGTTAGGAGCCTCTAGGTACTATTTTGATGGTATACTGTATATAATTTGGGGTCTGCTAAGAAAAATTCTGGCCACTGGGTGTTCTATTTAAATTGTTTCCTTGGTTTTGTTGTTAATCCTCACCCGAGATGTTTTTCCATTGTTTCTTAAGATAGAGTGAAAAAGAGGGAGGAAGAGAGAGAGAGAGAAACATCGATGTGAGAGAGAGACATCGATTGGTTGCCTCCTCCATAACCGCAGCAGGGGCTGGGATCAAACCTAGAAACCCAGGTACGTGCCCTCGACCAGGAATCAAACCCGAGACCCTTCGATCCAAGGGCTGTTGCTCTAACTGCTGAGCCACACCAGCCAGGGTGTTTCCTTGGTTTTTAAATAATTTGCATAAATAGTTTTATGTAAAAAGGTACTGATGACTGCAAAGCTTTTTGACTAATAAATTCCTGAACAGCACAGCTTCTTTATTATATTTTGCTTTTTCCTGATCATTTTATACTTAAAAATTTTTTTTTCAGCTTAAAAGCAAGAGGTATGAGGAGGTAGTGGATGGGACCCTACACACCATCTATTTTGATGCCCTCAATTTAGAGAGGCCCAAGCTTCTTGTCAGGATCACCAGTGACCTGCGTCTTGCTGAATCCAGAGGCCAACTTCTCTGCCTCACCTCACCGCTCTCCTGAGCCACCTTGGACACAGGGAACCCTCCCTGGCAATGTTCTGCTCTTAGAGTTTCTGTTTTCTCCTCGTTCCTCCTTCCAGGCTGGCTCTCCTGATGGTTACCCCCACCCCACCCCCACTCTATGTACACTCTCTTCCTAAGTCATCTGATCTGACCCCAAGGGCTAAATAACATTTCCAGCCCTGACCTCTCTCTCAGGCAACAACTGTGGCCTTGGTGTCTCAAGTATTCTCGATTTGTCACAATCGGCTGCCCTCCCCAGGCTCCCAGTTAACACACAGCACCACCATTTGTCCCGTTGCTTAGCCCCAAACCTAGAAGTCACCCTGAATTCCTCTCTTTCCCTTGACCTTGTACACCCAGTCCAATAGACCTAACCGTCCGGTTCAGAATCTACCAGACTGTGTCCCCCCGCCCGCCCCCGCCAGGGGGTTTTGGAGTACAGTCAAACCCCTTCCTCGGCTCTGTGTGCTCTGCTGCTGCTGGCTCTCCTACATGTCCCATCCATCCCCGCTGCTGACTGCCTTGGGGACCTGTGTTGATGTTCCCTGCGCCTGGAATGCACTTGCCTGCCTCTGCCAGCCTGGACCTCCCACCTCCCTACGGGAAGTGCCACCTCCCAGGCCACTCTGTCATTTCCACGTGGAGAGCACTCTGCTACAGCCCTGCTTGTTCGCGTCTTTATTTCCTGTCCCCACACAGGCTCTGCAGCTCCTGTCTCTCTCGTTCGCTGCGAGGTCCTCGGCAGCTAAAGCAGAGCCTGCTGCCTGGCAGATACGCAATGAATAGGTGTTGAATAAAAGGAAGAAGGAGAACTGCTAGCGAGGACCAAGCCAGGTCCTCGGGTTAGCTTTCTCCCCAACACCCTCCCGCCTGCTGGGATGCTAACCGGGGGCACTCTCCAGTTACCTGCAGCCCAGCGGTGCAGACCACTGGCGAGAACCCGGGGGGTAAGAAATATGTTTGAGAAGAAGAAAAGGAGCTCATCTGTTTGGAATCTTCCTAGGTTTCTCTTAAAGTTTATGAATTCCAGTTTTAGGTGGGGTCCTGACAGGTCTGATTAGCTCTTTTCTGGCACAGCAGATAGGAGGGAGGGTGTGAGGGACGAGCACCAACGCAGCGAGGAGTGCTTGACAGCGGGGAACAGAAGTCCCTCGGAGCAGATGGGAGCTCACAGCAGGCAGACAGGTCACGTAGCCCAGAGACAGTCAGGTCTGCGTTCCTCAGGAGCCGGGGACGACAGAGGGCCCAGGGCACGGACACGTGTTCATACGGGAGTTTTCTCGGAAGACGGGTTATTTAGGTCGTCCTATACTATCACAGAGCGTGTTGTTTGTAATTTTTTAAAAATTATAAAATGTTTTAAATCTTCAGCAAATAATTCAATAGACAACTATGTACCCACTATCCAGATTTAACAAAGGTGATATTGTATCACGCTATCTTTAGATTTTTTTTTTTAATGAAAAGAAAAAGAAAGAAAGCACTCCAGCCTGCCTAGCCCTCCTCCTGAATTTGCTGGGTCTCCTCTGAGCAGAGTTTAATGTTTTATATGGAAAAAACCCACGTAGTGAAACAAACTATCCCCCAAATACATTAGATTTCTTAATTAGCTGTCTGGTTGCAAAATATAAACAATAAACATTTAAAAATTATCTTTCTTCTCTCTCTCTCTTTTTTTTTTGATTGTCAAAAGCTGGCTGGATAAAGCAGTTGACGTGCTGGGATTGCACAGCATGGCACAGCCAGTCTTGCATCCCTGTGGTGTCCAACCCGAGCTCCTTGAAGGCAAGGCCGGGTCTGTGTCGTAGCATCTCGACCACCTGGCACAGAAACTTCGCATCGCAGGAGCTCAGTGAGCAGTTGTCGAACTGAGCAAACACATAGCCTGGCGTGTCCTCTGTAGCAATAATACCTCACTGAGCATTAGTCCTCTGGATCCTGGAGATGTGACATCCACTGGAGAACTGGCCATTACACTTTTCTTAAGGCGTTTGTTAACAGGGCAGACATTTCTGCAGCAGATGACGAATGTCATCTGACCCGCTTGGATCTTCCCGAACAGTAAAAGGAGTCACTCCAGGATGAACTCATCTTGATAACATCTTAAGCAATGCTTTAGGCTGAAGCAGGACCACACACCTCATCTGACAAATATTTACTGAGCTCCCACCCCGTGTCGGGCAGTGGGCTATGGGGGAGCTACCTAGGTGAAACCCTGCAGTCTACACTTAATTCAGGCTTGGCCTCTGCTGTTTGGGGTTAACCAGATTTCCCGTGAATTTTCACAAAGTGGCCTTGTCACTTGGCCAGTGTGCCACCGCCTCAGACTGGGTCCTCAAGTGGCCCCCAACAGTTTGATTCAGGAATGCGTGGACAGCTGCGAGGGGAGCCCTCAGATGACTGTCAGATCTGGAGCTGGTCCCAACACTGCCATTGAGGGGGATGTGGGCACATTGCCTCAGCCACGCTGGCGGCAGCAGGCAGTTCGGTTGTAGGAGGGAAGCTGCCAGACGGAAGGAAGGTGGTCAGTGGAGAGAGGCAGGACGGTCCGGCCACCCCTCAGCTTCTGCTGGTGGCTGCCACCATGCTGGAATGTGGCCCTGTCCGACCACACAGATCACTTTCAAGAGAAGCCTGAAATTCTGATTTTTAGATGAAATTTCCCAATTCTTACCTGTTGACAGTGATTTAAAATTTTTTCAAAATGCTCTCATTGTGAAACCTGCTCCAGAGCCCACGGAGGTGACCTTGAACACTGTGTGGGTGTCGGACACAGAGTCACTGATATTCCAAGCTGCTTTCTTCTTCTAAGGACACCTGACCATCTCAGGACACGGGACATTAGGCGTGCATTTCCTAAGATTTGCTTTCACTTTGAAATGATTTTTTTTTTAATTTAATTAATTTATTTTTGTTACAAGTGTTTCTCCTTTTTCCCCCACTGATACCCCCCCTCCCCACCCTGTCCCCAGTTTTGTTGTCCATGTCCATTGTTCATGCACACATGCATATAAGTTCTGTGGTTTAACACCCCCCCACCTTCTCTTCTGGGGATTGTTACTCTGTACCCCACTTCCATGTCTCTGGGACTACCCCATTCCTCAGACTGTTATGTTCATTATATTCCACAAATAAGTGAGATCATGTGATATTTGTCTTTCTCTGCTTGGCTTGTTTCACTTAGAATAATACTCTCCAGGTCCTTCCATGTTGTCTCAAAGGATAAGAGATCTTTCTAACAGCTGCATAGTACTCCATTGTGTACATGTATCACAGCTTTTTTATCCATTCGTCTACTGATGGACACTTGGGCTGTTTCCAGATATTAGCTATTGTAAATAGTGCTGCTATGAACATAGAAATGATTTTTACAAAAGAAAAAGCAAAACCGTCTGCCCACAACTAAAAAGCTATTTTAAGTCTCAGAGTGGGGTTCATCGTCCTGTCTCCTAGGCTTTAGGGCGAGTGCTAGCTGGCCGAAGGGTTCGAAACGGATGGGAACCGCGACAAACTGGGTTTTGTGAGTTTCCCGAAGCTCAGAATTCTGAGATCAGCTGTTCTCTTCCCTTTATCCCAATGCCTGGCCCTAGCCTTCTCGAACCTCCCACTGAGCAGACCC